GAACACAAGGTCCAAAAGGTTTTACTGGTATCAAAGTAAGCTCATGCCATCTCTATTTTTTACCTGTCTTGACTATAGAGTTTTAATATCTAATGGCTTTACTGTCTTTCAAGGGTAACAGAGGACCTGATGGAGACCAGGGAGACATTGGACCTAAAGGAAACAAAGTAAACATACAAATATGAATTAGTTTAGAGTATATATAGTGTCTACATTTTAGCTCAAGTTGATGTAATAGGTTACTATCCTCATGATAACAGATGTCACTTGAAAATTGTATTTTCCTCCCAGGGTGTTAGAGGAGCCCCAGGGGTACAGGGCATTCAAGGTGAGCAGGGACCAACAGGCTTTCCTGGTTTCCCAGGCATCAGAGGCCTGCCAGGACCACAGGGGATCCAGGTATGAGTTACATTAATATTGCTTCACTAATATACTAAAATATACTTTTTTTTTGTTTGTCTGTACACCATTAGTCCTAAAAGTCATAACTCAATATCCTCACACAGGGAGAGGATGGAGAAACTGGTCCGCATGGCAAAGTGGGAAAGGAGGGGCCAAAGGTCAGAGTTGTCCTGAATTACATGCATTAAGATTTTTAGTGTCTCAAATTGAGTGTAATATTCTCTAATGTGAATTGTCCAACTTGATTTTACTGAAGGGGAGCAAAGGTCCCGAAGGCCTCTCTGGAAAGTCTGGTCCTAGAGGCCTAAAGGTAATACACTTCATGGTATATTGTCATATAATATGGTTCTAAGCTTTAAGGTATTATAAACAGATATTTTCAACTAGTTGTGCTGTGTGATATTGATTTTAATAAAGTCTCAATACATATCTAATTTTCAGGGCCGAACAGGGCAGAGGGGTCTCACTGGCATGCCTGGACTTCCTGTAAGTGTTCATACACAAAAGCTGGGACTAATGTCAATCTTTGTGTAGAATGCTGATAATGTCAGTGTTGATGGTGTTTATTGCAGGGTTTACCTGGCCCATCTGGACCTTTTGGAGCTGAAGGAAAGCCTGGTACACAGGTTCCCATTCTATATTCTAATACCATGAACCATGTAGAAAAAATACCATGTAAAAAAGATGTCACTGATGCATTTCTACATCAATTAAATAGAAACATGTAATAATAAGATAGAAGGCTATTGTGCAAAAACATTATAATATTATGGTTTCTAATTCTAGATTTAAATGAAAGTTTCTTGTGCTCCAGGGACTGCAAGGCCTTGTGGGTAATGCAGGAAGTCAAGGACTAATGGTTGGTTCAGCTCTCTTAACGGAATAGCCCACCTTCCAATTGTTTAAAAGT